CCGATAAAGCAAGCAAAACCCGAGCTACCAAAGCACGGGAAATATTAAAAAATATATATAATAGTTTTTACAACCATGAGATACTAAGACCACAAGCGGCCTGATCAGTGTTCAAAAATAAAAATAAAAAAAGGGAAGAGAAAAAACAACGACAATGAGAACAACAAAGGAGACTAAGTCAGAGCAGCAGGGATGACTGGAAGCCGGTTAAGGGGAGCGAGCTCTTCACCAGTGGCCGTATCTTTCGCCACAATAGCGGGCTCCTTTTCCTGAGCTTCCCATCGCACTTCACGATGATTTGAGTGACCTCGTGCCTTCGAGAAGAGTGCAGACGAACGCTCTCCTGATCGTGAAAAGATTGCAGAGACTCTTTTTCCGTCTTTATCCTCTCGAGCTCCTCCTCGGCATATTTTGCTGGTTGTCTTGCTTCCTCCGCATTTTTTGGACAGATCATCCATCGCAGCGGTCTGCGTGGTGAGCTTCTTCTCGAGACCGGGAACCTTCTTAGCCTCTTTCTTCACACTCGGATAATCCTCGAGCTTCTTTAGAAGCCCCCGAGACCGACGCTCGTATTTTTCGATGATCAGATTCCCATGTGTGATCATCTGTCAAAAGAAAGTCGATGAGCAGAGACAAAATAAAAGTAAGGATTTTGAAACACAATATCAGGTTAAAGGATGATACCTCTATCACGCTCCCCGTGCAGCTGATACGCCTCTGCTTCGATCAGGTCGTCGGGCCCAGGAAAGTCGTGCTCCGTGCTACAAGGGATCTTGGAGCATAGCTCATGAGATACTTGTAAAATGATCTTTCGATTTAAAGGTGAACGAAAGATCATAGGTCGCATGTTCCTCTTCAGAACCAGTAGCAGCGGCTTCAACAGAGGCGGTCTTCTGTGTCGACTCCTCTACGCGATGTTTCTTCTTCGATCCCTCAACAGCGACCTCAGTGGGCCTCTTTTTCCCGGTCTCCTTATCAGAAACCTTCTTCAGGGCCTCAGTAGAAGGGTTCCCCACTCGCTTTCCCGCCTTCTTCGCAGCGAGAGAAGCCTCAGCGGCCTTCTCGGTCTGTAAAGAGACTTGTTTAGACGCTCCGTGAGCAGCGACAGAAGGCCCCGCCTGTTTAACGGCTGCATCAGTCCTTTTGCTCGGAGCAGGACTCTCTTGAGTAACGTCGGTGATATTAACCCTCTTAAATTTGGCCTTAACCATTTCTTTCTTAGCTTTCTTTTCACGGGGCTTCTTCGGCTTGATCGGAGGGAATGTATACGGTCTGAGAGGGGCGAGCTCGAGAGTATAACAGCCTGTACAATAAAACATGATGGTTTTGAATAAACAGCATGTCCTAACCCTGAATCGAAAAGGAACAAACTCGACAAACGAACCTTTCGTGATCCTTTCTTGACACCTTTGGATCCTTTGCTCGAGGAATTCTGGCCAAATCTGAGGTTCCAGTCCTTTCAAAAGAGGAATCATTGTCTTTTCACCGGGCTTTGGAGCGGTCATGATCAGCGGAACTAGGTAATCTCCAAACAAAGAAGAAGATTAGGTGTTAGCCAAAACAGGTAAACTCGTAAACACAGAGATGTTAAGCCTACTGATTATAATGTTCCAGCCAGCCCGGACTAGCCATTTCGGATTCTCGACGGAGGCCGCGTCGATCTTCACAAAGAAATACTTGAACTCCCAATTGTCGCATTTATCATTAATGGAGTCCGGATTCAACCACGAGTTCCCAGCATACGCCGATACATAAAAACGACCTGAAGGTTTCCACCACTTCAGTTGGGTCATCGCCTCAAAAGTGTCGCAATCGTACTCCATTCCATGCTCAGTGGCAAGAGCGAGGCAGACCGCAAAGTTTCGGATTGACGCCCAGGTGAGTTGAGAAACAGCTATACCCCGCCGAGCACAGTATTCGAGCAATATCCGGGGCAGCGGAAACCATAGCCTGCTCGCCGTGAAGAATGACTCGTACAAACACATATACTCTTCTGGAGGCGTCCAGGGGCGGTCGCTCTCTCCGGGCACCATGAATTCAACGGTCTTGGAGAGATTCCTGGCAGACCACATCGCCTCCAATGACTCAAGGGACGACGTGGTCCTCTGGTCGTCAAAACGGACTAGTTTTATGTGACGACCTAGACCGGATCCTGGAGGGTCCTTTCTCTCCGGGGTCGAGATCGATAGACCGAAAGAGTCGGGATCCTCTTCGACCCCCATCCAAAGAGGGCCACATTGAGATCGCCCACGGCTATATCGGGCCCCGGGAGGGAAGGATCCAACTACTTTAGGAGCCTTGGAAATTCTGGTCTCGACAAGGCGACGACTAGGTCGTGGATCCTCGACCGAGCTAGATTCCGCATCGCCTTCCTTCGAGATGCATGCCTTCTGAACGCGAGCTATGGTCTCTTCCCCCATCAGCAATAGACCGTCAGACAAAGATGCAGATGGTGACCTGACCGATTTCTGCTTCGGAGAATTTTCACCGGAGGAATCAATCTGAATCGGGGAGGACATCAACCAGATGATAGAACAGTGGTGTCTTTGAAGAAAGACCAGAAACTAGGTCGAAACGGCGAAGTCTTTGAAGATCGATCAGGAAGTTTAAACCAAGACGGCGGACTCGGAGATGATGGGACAACAACAAGCTACTTAACGAAAAACT